TCCTACAATTGAATCTGAGTTTTTTAAAAATCTGTCAGATTTTTCTCTAAGTCTGTATAAAAATGGATGTAAATCTGTGTAATTTACAAGCTGACGTGTATGTTACTGTATACCAGGAGGTCAGTGTAATTCCTGAAAACATCTCCCTCCCTTCAAACTCTTCTGTCAGTGATGTCCTCCAGGAGCAGCTACACAGGCCACGTGTCATTGTCTACATCTGTGGTCTTTAGTTCAGGTCCCCAGGAATGTAGACCAACCAGTAAATCAAGAGCTCTGCCTTTTGACCCAGCTCTTCACCATGACCGACCGAAGCAACGCCCTCATCACTGGTATCAAAATCTGATGACGGTTAATATAAATGATGGCGTATAAATCAAGTGAGGTAAAGTGACAAATTTTCACAAAGCTGCTCTGAGAACTGTGACGTAACATTCGAGGCTCTTCCAGGACACCCTGTGACGTTACTGACCCGAGTTCTGATTCGGCTCATTCAGAGGACCGGAGCGAGCAGACAGACTGCTTTACATTGTGTCAGTGTGCCTTGTCTGCACTGCTGTTCCATGAAAAGATAGAATAATATTTACTAAGATGTGAGGGCTGTACTCACTTGTGAAATACTGTGTTCACACACCCTTTCACACAAGGTGTTGACACATCCCAATGTGTGTGTAGCATGGCCTTTCTGTGTGTAACACACCCGTTTATACACGAGGTCCATGGACACCAGCTGAGGGTTCCTAACCTGTTTGTTTCCTTTCAGAGCATTAAGCTCCACCCCCAGCGCCCTGGACTCCACCCACAGGAGGAGGTGAGTGTTTGTCTGTGTGTGTGTGTGTGAGTTTTGTAATGCTGCAGTGTGACATGTTGTTGTGTTTATAGTACCTGTTGTACAGCGACGGCAGCATGGCCATTTACTCCATGGAGACAGAAACTCCTACAGCTGAGGACATCCAGCTGCTAAAGAAGACTGTGGAGACTGAAGCCTCACAGGTAAACACACCTTACCTCCAGGCTTGTGATGCCACCGTATCAAACTCTGCTGATGGTGTGTAAATGTAGGACTGTATGAGGTGAAGTGCAACATTTCCACAAGGCTGCTATGAGCACTGGGACATATGAGTGTTGTGACCAGCCCAGCTCATTCACAACACAAACAGGGCTGTGTGGAGTAGAGCTGGGCAGTACACCAGTTCATACTGGAAACCAGTTTTTATTTTTGTTTTCATATGAATTATCAGAACTGGTTTAAACAGTCTCAAGATGTTGAGAACATGCCAGTCAGTCAAAAGGCTTTTCTGTGCAGCAGTCATGTGGAAGCAGCCTTCTCACTAACCGTGTTTCCATCAAGGCTTTTTGATGCGCATTCAGAAGTGTCGCATTAAAAATGTGAAAAAAAGTCCGATGGAAACAGCAAAATTAAAAAAAAAAATCCTCAATTTGCTAAAAAGTTTTTACGCTCGCTTGAGGTGGTTTTTGGATGATTCACAAAGTAGTTAATGCGCAAAATTGGAGATGGAAACATGTTTGTTGAATAAATTCTGACGTAGCGCATATTTACCTCACGTGGCGTTCAGCTGTTTCCGCTTTCCTGCCTCGTCCCAGATGTTAGCCCGGCGTAGTTACACGTGCCTTTCTGCTGCGTAGTTTAACATTGCTTTTATTTCCCTACGTCTCCTGGCAGCGTTAAACATAGCCTGTACTAGCTGAATAGATAGAATAATTACAACTTGCCCAATAGCAAGGCATTCACGAAAAAATCACTCCACTGTCCCGAGATAATTAGCCTCTGCTAGTTAGCAAGTTTCACTTCCTGTTTACTACTGCAAAGCTTGTCGCAGACGTCTGATGTAATCACGCATTGCGTAGCTTCGTCTGACGTAATCACGTGTTGCGTAGCCTCATCTGACACAATCACGCGTTGCGTAGCCTCGTCGGACGTAATCACGTGTTGCGTCGCCTCGTCTGACGTAATCACGTGTTGCGTAGCCTCGTCTGACGTAATCACGCGTTGCGTAGCCTCGTCTGACGTAATCACGTGTTGCGTAGCCTCGTCTGACGTAATCACGCGTTGTATTACCACGTATTTATTTAATTTTTGAGAATTTTGAAAAGTTTGATGAAAATTCACTCTACAACTGGATGGAAACACGATTATTGCTAACAAAGGCTTTTCAACCAGCTACTAGAAATGAACCTTTTATTTCCAGTGATTGAATCAGTCCAATGAGTTTAGAGCCTGTGAAATGAAGGATTGTGTTTAAAAGATGCTTTAGTTCCTCACATTTTATTCAATCATTTTGTTCAACGCACTGAATTAAAGCTGAAAGTCTGAACTTCATCTGAATTGTTTTGTTTAAAATTCATTGTTTTGATGTCTAGAACCAAAATTAGAAAAATGTCTGTCCAAATATAAATAACTGTAGGTGTAACCTGTGCTTTCAGGGTCTGAAGGACCTGAAGAAGGACAAAGTACTGATGAGGAGGAAGTCGGAGCTGCCGCAGGACGTCTACACCATCAAAGCTCTGGAGGCTCATAAGAGAGCTGAAGAGTACCTGACAGCCAACCAGGAGGCTCTTTGACCAGCCTGGCTCCGCCCCCTCCTGCCTCTTTCGGGGGGAGAAAGTTGTCTTTGCTGCGGAGAATCAGACAAGAACGGAGCTGTAGCTGTGTTCAACAAGAAAAAATAAACTAAAGTCAGCTCCGCCCCCAGGTGGCCACTTGCCAGTAGGACACCATAGAAGCTCCGTGTGTCTGCATCCTGTCCAACATGCTCCACTGTGATTGGACATCAGCTTCATGCTACGCCCCCTCACATCTCCACCTGCTACAACTGTTTACAGACGTGTGTCCAGTACCTGAACACATCACCAGCAGCGTTTCCCACTGATGACCTGAAGCCCCGCCTTCTGAAACAACCAGGCTCCGCCCAGCGGTGACCTACGGAGCTCAGAATGAGAAAACGCATGTCATTGACCTGATGACATCATCACTGTAACAGTTTACCTGCAGCGACAGGTGATGAGTTGTAGGAACTGCTCTCTAAACCAACTTCTCTGACATATTTCTGATCAGTTTTCACCTGCAGGTGTCTGTTAGCGTGTTCTGTTAGCGTGTTCTGTTAGCGCTCCTCCAACACGTCGTCAGAAACTGTCAGCAGTTTTCAGCTCAGAGGATAATCTGTGGATCAACAGGCAGCGGTGAACGGACAGATGACTGAATGTAGACATTTTATCAGAAGCATGAGGGGGTGTGGCCTACCTGCGCTCTGACCTGCACCTGTTTTTACATCAGGGTTTAAACTGCTGGCAGAGATGATTGAGTGAAACCACAAACATCTGCAGACTTCAACAAAAACCACAACGTCACAGATTCAGGAAGTTTGACTTCCTGTTTGTTTCCATCAATCAACCAATCAGAGCGTTCGATGCTTTCTGACAAATGAAAATCCTGGAGAGCAACGAAGTCTCAGAAACATGTGACCCTCAAAACGCTGTCTGATTGGTCAGTTCCAGATTGAAAGGTCTGAGGCTGTATTTAAAAACTAAATCAAATCAAAACGGATCAATAAATACTCCAGGAGTTTCTCACCTGATGAGACAAAATCATTTCTGCCATTTGGTTTTATTTGTTGCAGTTCTCCTGAGGTGGGCAGGGCTACTTGTCATGTGACGTATGCTGATCTGTAATCAGGCCACGCCCACTGACACTTTGTTTCTGTTTACTGAGGCCCTTCCAGCTGTGGAGTGGAGGTATCCAATAAGCTGTCAGTCAAAACTACTCAACATTCCATTGGCTGTGGTGACCCCGCCCCATTGCTCCTCCTCCAGTGGTGGGTGGAGCTTTGGTCACATGATAACACAAGGTGTATGCTGCTTCCTGTCATGTACAGATGTTTAATCAGAACAAGCATCACATGGTATGATTTTATACAGTTCATGTATGTACAGAACCAATAAAACCAGAACTATCTGACCCGTTTGGTTACTTCACACAGGTATCACACTGTCCCTCAGGTTCTACACAGGTCAGAACCAGGTCCAACAGGAGAGCGGTTCTGTCCAGCCTGCACTACAGATATATATAATGAGAAGAGAATCATCCGACACTGAGTTGGGACAACACAGGGTTACAAAACAAACTGATTGGTCCAAACAACAGTCCAGAACAAGAACAGGTGTGTGGATCACCTGACCCTCAGAAGGTGCAGCTGCAGTCCAGTCTGTTTCTGCTGCACATGGTCAGTAAGGAAGAGTTACGGTTGTCATGGTGCATTCAGGGACAGGGGGACCCTAAACAAGTCCTTGTGATGTGTTTGGGTCTGTAGGAACTACGATTAGGGTCTATGGTCCCTGGAGGTTGGCCCGGCGCGGCAGCCTGAGCCCAGCGGCACTCTGTCGGCTCTGAAGTGTGTGTTGGACCATGTCCTTCCACTGGTCCTCTGAGATCTCCTGAGCCCACGGTGGTACACTGAGAGACGGCAGAGCCACGGCCGCCATCGTCCTCTTCACCAGCTCCACGTGATCTGAGGGACAGGAAGTGAGAGTGAGAAACCTGGTGCTGATCCAGGTCACTGACAGGTTACAGGACAGTCTGCATCTCTGGAGGGACAACCAAACAGACATGAGAGGAAAATATTCAACATTCAACTAAAACTGTCTGTAAGAAGTGAACGCTTTAGACCAGAGCTTCTCAAACTGGGGTCCGTGAGTTGTATCTTGGGGGTCCTCAAAAATTTTCTACACATTGTTCATTTAATTTTTGTTTAAAGAAATGCACAGGGAGAACAAACAAAGACACTAGACCAATCAAACGACAGTATTCCCATGGCGTTCAGCAGGTAACCTGACAGTGAACAGCATGGGCTTCATAAGGGGGTCCCTTGTAAGGGGTCCCCAGACCCAAAGCGCCTGAGGACCCCTGGTTTAGATATTCCAGACTGGAGACAAATGGAGGCAGGGGGAGGTCTAACCTGCATCCATGGGGATGGAGGCTCGGCTCCTCTGAGCCGCCGCCCCCTCTGGGTCTTCCTCCTCCTCATCACTGTCTGCAGGCGGAGCTTCAGGGAGGTGCAGACCCATGACCTGCAGGAACACACAGGTGAGACACTGGCTCCTCTTCAGACACAAACAGCTCCACAGCTCACCTGGATCCTGTGCTGCACCTGCTGCAGCTGCTCAGAGTGGGACGCCTCCCCCACCTCCTCCTCCTCCTCCTGCTGCAGGCTGTGTGGACCCTCTGGGTCCTGGTTCAGAGGCTGGTAATAATACCCTCCACTGTTCACCTCCTCCTCCTCTTCCCCTCCATCTGCCTCCGTTTCTCCCCCCTCCTCACCTCCGACCCACACTGCTCCCCCCTGCAGCACAGCACCGTCCACAGGGCGTTGGTCCTCCCCCAAGTCGTCCTCAGAACTCGGCAAGATTCTCTCTGGTCCCATGGCTGGACTGCACACTTCCATCCACAGAGACAGACCTGAGGGGACCCAGCAGACACTAGTGATGACTAGAGAGGACTAGAGAGGACTAGAGAAGACTAGAGAGGACTAGAGAAGACTAGAGAAGACTAGAGAGGACTAGAGAGGACTAGAGAAGACTAGNGACTAGAGAGGACTAGTGACGACTAGAGAGGACTAGTGACGACTAGAGAGGACTAGTGACGACTAGAGAGGACTAGTGAC